CTCTCCCGTTAATGCAGCAGGTAAATAATCAACTAACAGTGCATATTATGTTAGCGCGATCTGCCTTATTACAAAACCTGCCATTACTGTGCATTTAGGTGACCATGATGAGAGAGACAAAGTCTGGCTCAGATGCTGGCAGCTCTCCCTGCAGTCTACCGTTAGCGTCTCCTTTTAGTCCAGGATAGACGAATGTCACCGAGCAGTGACTAAGTTTGTGGTAAAAGGCTTGCACCCATTTGCCACAGCAGATGCCCCGATTTTCGGTAAGTGAATGTGTTTAATTGTAGGCAGGGACATTACTGGATATTCTTGTGTAATTGCTACAGAATAATTTATGTTATACTTTGTTATTGCTACAGAAGAATATTTATTTTATTATTTTACATTTACAATTTTTTTTCCTGGGGCCCCTTTGACACCCCATTGAAGATCCATAGGCTGTGGATCTCTTAAGATCTCACTGTTGGGTTTGTAAGGCCATGTTACTCCTAAATTTCTATCTTGTTCAAAGAGAAGATATAAAACAAAGTTCTAAGCTAATCGACCTTAGTGTTCTCCTTTTTTAAAAATAAGAATCGATAAGAGAATTGATAAAGAATCGAATTGTTAAACAGAATCGAAAATGGAATCGGAATCGTGAAAATCTTATCCATACCCATCCCTAATAGAGACCCCAAATTTTGTGTATTAGTCTGTAGACATGTTTATTTCTGCTGCAAAGTTTTAAATGGAAGTATGTGGGGACTGACTCACTGCTGCCCCTGCTGGACATGAGAGGAACTGTATCCATCTTTAATTACAGTCTGTATAAACAGTGCCCACCACAGGTCAGACTGTGAACTGCACCCCTCTGATAGTGATCTCCGCAGGTGGAAACATGTTGAGCTCTTTGAGTATTTGAGGCTATATCAGACCTTTAACTCCCAGTCCTGCAGCTTCAATAATCCCTCGTGGGAATTCCTTAGATCCCGACCGAACCCCATCCTGGATCTCAGTCTTTGTGTTTAACAGCGTGGATTAGCGGGCACTGATAGCATGGCCGTCTATGGAGAGACAGAAATATCAGCAGGTTCATAACAAATAGATGATCTGAAACAAACTCTTCAAACCGCGACATCTCCCACAGTCACTTCTAAACCTCTGAACAAATTGAGCAGGATATGTTTACTCTGCTAAAGCCACAGCCTGAAACCTCATAACCCATTTTATACTCTCTAACAACCCTCTAAAAACCGCTGAAATCCTCAGAAACCAGAACAGGGTATTTCACCTCCAGCACAGAAAAATTCAAACTGTCCGACAACAGAAATGAAACCATCAGGTGTGAAACACTCACTTCCTCCTTGGCTTTAAAGTGATTTAAACTATAAACATTAGCTTCAATCTGCTAAAGCTAACTCAAAAACTTTCCAAGACTTTCCAAAACACGTTCCAAGCATATTTCCAACATCTTCACTACTTCCTTCTAGGACGCTTCAAAACTTTTCAGACTTCCTTCAAACTATCTAATCACGTCACAAAACCTTAAAACACATGAAACGGTTTAAATATAGCTTTAAAGCACTTTAAGATGTTTAAAAACTGTTTTAAAAAGTTAAAACGGCTTGTGGCACTTTAAGTTTCAAACTATGCTAACGCTAGCCGCTGCTCCCGTCTAAATTAAAGGGAAATGAAGCTAGCGTGCTAAAAAGATAACGGCAGCTTCCTTTGGAATTGCAGGAAAACTGACTTATTAACATACTAACAGCTGCTGTTAAACTTTGTTCAGAAGTCTTTAAAACTGAAGCCGAACGCACTCAGAGACCCCCTGTCCGCTTCTCCGAACCTTTTCTCCGGGTACGAAGCTCCAATGGAGCGGCGGAGGAGCGCCGGGATACTCGCAGGGGGTTCCCAGTTTTTCCTGCGCTCCTCGGACGCTTTCTGCCGCTTTAACGCACCAGGAAGTGGGTTAATGCGGCAGGAGGCTCGCTGTCCGATCACCGCGGTCCTCTGTCGTCCTTGGCCGGTATCATGTCCTCCGGTTCTTCTGGATTCTCTGCTCCGTTTCCCGGCTTCTCCAGCTGCCGTCCGGCTACCGAGCTAACGGCTAACAGGGAGGGGCTTCCGTGGGAAACGGAAGGAAGGGGGGAGGAGGGGGTCTTATTGTGTGGCTGAAGACGTGAACGTGTAACATGCGTGGGATATACGTTGGAAAGAGGAGCCGTAGGACACAGAACATCTGGATCAAACACTCCGATTTCACACACTTGGATTAAACACACCTGGGCATCATTTCTTATCGCTGCACCCTGTGGTAGAAACTATAAAAATAAACCTGAGAATGTGCACACCTGTATCTGAGCCAGGTAAGCATCTTGGTGACCCGCCAAACTAAATCTTGCAATAAAACCCATTCAGCTTGTTTAGATAGTATCAGAAATATCCAGAGCAGCAGGGAGCCTTACCTGTACTGTTATCTCTCACTGTAGCAGGTATTAGCCCTTCGTCACTCCCCACATCCTTGTTATGAAAAATACCAAACATTTTTCTCTCTGACATTATCAAAGCGCTCAGATTAAGGTAATTTCCAGCGCACAGAAAAACACTTAAAGTTTCTGCTTCAGACTCATGCATGCTCATATCAAAGCACCTCCTCCTCCAATCAGAGGTCTTACTAGAGCGCGGGTAATAGAGCTCTATGAAGAACACACCTGAAAATATGACTACTGTGGCATGGGACAGCTTTTATCTGTGAATTTATTGAGTACATGTTTTTATTTTCTGTTATATTCCTCATGTAAATGGGGAGTCCTCTTCACACACTAAGGTTAATTATAAAGTTATATAGGGCCCAATGCTAGAACCAATTCTGTTTACATTATAATCCCTTGGGGAGTATCATTAGAAGGCATAACATACATTTTCACTGCTATGCAGATGACACCCAACTCTATCTGTCCATGAAGCCAGATAACACACACCAATTAGTTAAACTGCAGGAATGTCTTAAAGACATAAAGACCTGGATGGCTGCTAACTTTCTGCTTCTAAATTCGGGTAAAACTGGGGTTATTATTATTAAGCCCTAAAAATCGTAGAACTATTGTATCGAACTAGTTGTTTTTATGTTGTTTTTAACCAGTTGCTTCTCAATGCCAGATTAAAAACATATGTAGGACTGCTTTTCTCAATTTGTGCAATACCTCTAAAATTAGAAACACACCCTGTCTCACAGTTACACTGGAATACTAGTTCAGTTCAATTCATTTTTTTAAATAGCACCAAATTACAACAACAGTTGCCTCAAGGCACTTTATATCATAAGGTAAATACCCTACAATAGAAAACAGAGAAACCCCCCCAAATCATATAACCTCCTGTGAGCAAACGCTTTGGTGACAGTAGTTCCCATTTAACATGAAGAAACCTTTAGCAGAACCAGGCTCAGGGAGGGGCGGCCATCTGCTGCGACTGGTTGAGTGTGAGCAGATAAAGACAGGAGAAGGACATGCTGTAGAAGAGAGCTAGAGATGAATAATAATTAATATTTAAATGCAGAGAGGTGTACAAACATATGTGAGTGAAGAAGAAACTCACTCAGTGCATCATGGGAATCCCCCGGCAGCCTACACCTATTGCAGCATAACTTAGGGAGGATTCAGGGTCACCTGATCCAGCCCTACTTTATCAAAAGGAAAGTTTTAAACCTAATCTTAAAAATGGGGATAGTGTCCGTCTCCTGAATCCAAACTGGACACTGGTTACATAGAAGAGGGGCCTTGAAAGCTCAAGGCTCGGCCTCCCATTCTACTTAATACTCTTGCTTTCATGGGGTGATACTGAAGTACTATAAGGTCATTAAGCTAAGACCTTATATGTGAGGAGCAGGATTTTAAATTCTGGATTTAACAGGGAGCCAATCAAGATAAGCCAATATAGGAGAACTATGCTCCCTCTTTCTAATCAGTCTCTGCCTGTCAGTACTCGTGCTGCAGTATTTTGGATCAACTGAAAGCTTTTCAGGGAGGTTATAATAACAAATTACAGTAGTCATAAATACATAAACGAGTTTTCAACATCACTATGAGACAGGATGTGATGCTGAGGATCTAATTTTAGAGATATAGTGCAAATGTAAGAAGACTCCCAGATTCCTAAAGCGCCTTGAGGCGACTGTTGTTGTGATTTAGCACTATATAGATAAAATTGAACTGAATTGAATTGAATTCCTCACAGTGTCACTGGAGGCCAAGATAATGCGATTAAGAGTAAGTATATGGTAAAATACCTATTTGTAAGATTTTCAGGGCTGTACCCAAATTTTGAAGCAGAAAGTTAGCGGCCATCCAGGTCTTTATGTCTTTAAGACATTCCTGCAGTTTAACTAATTGGTGTGTTTTATCTGGCTTCATGGACAGATAAAGTTAGGTGTCATCTGCATAGCAGTGAAAATGTATGCTATGCCTTCTGAAAAAATCATTTGTAACCCTTCACTAAAGCTGTTTCTGTGCTGTGATGAGCTCTGAAACCTGACTGAAACTCTTCCAATAAGCCATTTCTCTGCAGATGATCTGTTAGCTGTTTGACAACTACTCTTTCAAGGATTTTTGATATGAAAGGAAGGTTGGCGATCAAGTGATGGCTTTTTAAATAATAGTTTAACAGCCTGGCTACAGTGCTGAAGAGAAACCTAGTGGTGTTCTTATTTTCTTTAATCAGTGATGAATAGTAAGATGTTCTAGCTTTACTGATGGCTTTCTTATTAAGCAGCACACTATTTTTCCAGGCTACATGATGATCTTCTAAATTAGTGATACGCCTTTTCCTCTCCAGCTTACAAGTTATCTGCTTCATGGTGTGCATTTTAAAGTTATACCAGGGAGTCAAGCACTTCTGATTTGAGGCTTTTTTTCACAGGAGCTACAGTATCCAGAGTCATACGTTGTGAAGAGGTAACATTATTAACAAGATAATCGACCTCTATTGGTGTAGCGTTCCGGTAGCTGCTCTGCTCTGTGTTGATATAGGTCATTGAAGAAGATAACAGTGGGTGGATTATATTCTTAAATTTAGTTACAGCTCTTTCAGAAAAAAATCTACTGTGATGACATCTATTCCTCACTGCTGTGTAATCCATTACTGTAAATGTAAATGTTCTGGTGTTCACTGTTTGCCTGCTGTATCAGGAATAAATGAAAATAAGATGAATTACCTCAGCTTATTTTTTGGCTCAGTAATATTGATGATCAGCTTTGAATGCCTAATAAGGTTTTGGAGGGTCAGCGGACATTCACGGATTCCCGGCCGCGTCCTCAAGTCATGCGCGGCTCAGCTGGCTGGAGTGTTCACGCACATCTTCAACCTTTCCCTCTCTCTGTCTGTAGTCCCAGCCTGCTTCAAAATGGCCACCGTCGTCCCTGTACCCAAATCCTCCACCATCTCCTCACTGAATGACTGGCGACCTGTAGCCCTGACCCCCATCGTGAGCAAATGCTTCGAGAAGCTGGTCAGGGACTTCATCTGCTCTGCACTACCCGACTCACTGGACCCTCTACAGTTCGCATACCGCCACAACAGGTCCACTGATGATGCCATAGCCCTGACACTACATACTGCCCTCTCACACCTGGAGAAGAGAGACACGTATGTGAGGATGCTGTTTGTAGATTACAGCTCAGCATTCAATACCATCGTTCCCTCGAAGCTGGACAGGAAACTGCAGGATCTAGGACTGAGCAGCTCCCTCTGCAGCTGGATCCTTAGCTTCCTGTCTGACAGACGCCAAGTGGTCAGACTGGGCAGCATCACCTCATCCCCCATCACACTGAACACTGGTGCTCCACAGGGGTGTGTACTGAGCCCTCTCCTGTACTCACTCTACACCTACGACTGCACAGCCACTAACAACTCCAACATCATTGTGAAGTTTGCGGACGACACTACAGTGGTGGGTCTTATCACCAATGGTGATGAGACGGCCTACAGGGAGGAGGTCAGCGCCCTGACCCACTGGTGTCAAGACAACCATCTCACCCTCAACGTCGCAAAGACAAAGGAGTTGATAGTGGACTTCTGGAGGTGCAGAGAAGTACACACCCCCATCACCATCAACGGCGCTGCTGTGGAGAGAGTGAGCAGCTTCCGGTTCCTTGGTGTACATCTGGCTGAGGATCTTACGTGGTCAGTACACACAAACAAAACAGTGAAGAAGGCGCAGCAGCGCCTCTTCTTTCTCAGGAGACTGAAAAGATTCGGCATGAGCCCCCGCATCCTCAGGACCTTCTATCACTGTGCCATTGAGAGCATCCTCACTGGATGCATCACCACCTGGTATGGCAACAGCACCGCCTACAACTGCAAAGCTCTCCAGCGAGTAGTGCGGTGCTCTGAACGGATAATTGGAGGTGAGCTTCCCTCCCTCCAAGACATCTACAGGAAGCGGTGCCTGAGGAAAGCGAGGAGGATCATCAAGGACTCCAGTCACTCACATGTGCTGTACCAATGTACCTGCACATGTGATGTGACAATAAACGTGATTTGATTTGATTTATTGAATTATTTGTTGATTCTTTGATTTTAAGCTGCATCAAACACATAGTCACAGTTTGGACATTTAAAACGTCTCGCAGGAGCTGAGAGTCTTCGTCAGCACTGAAAACACAGGGCGTCATAAGAGGAATGAGAAAAATGTCAAATCCAGCCATTAGGAGCAGAGTGTGGGCGGGGCTTTCATCAGGAAACTGAAGGAATGAAGTGGTTTCTGTTCAACCGGTCAAGGCGCACACGTCTGCTGAGTTTACTGACTTCTGTTAAACACAGTTTCCTGTTTGGTTTTTAAAAGTTTACCAGAAATTAAATGCACGACTTCCTGCATGTGATCACACATATTGATCATCTGGCACGCGCGCTCTCGCTCTCACACACAGGCACACACACACAAGCCCGTTCAGCTATCTTAGTGAGGTTAGGGGCTTTCCCTGGCCCCTAACCCTAAACATTAAAAATGACCCTAACGCCGTCAAATTTGTGAAGACCGGTTTGTGCGCCCTCACAGTGACTGTTGGTTCTCCCAAGTATAATAGAATGCAGATTTCGGTCCTCACAAAGACAGCTAGACAGGAAC